AAAAAAAAAAAAAGCAGCACCTGATGTGGATACTAAAAATGCAAAGAAGAGAATTAAGTGTCTTTGCTAGGGCAATTAAGAAGTAGCCAAGGATAATGAAGCTCCTTTACTGAGCATTTCTGTCAAGCTTATAGAGATATTCCCAAGGAAGATTTTTATAATTAAGCTTAAGCATGGTATTCAGTGTCCTGCAACGTCCATCCTTCATATACTGATACCCACACATCCCACATGCCCAACGCAAAATGCGTGATACTCTACCAAAACAACTAGAATCTGCTTAAATAAAATACAATGCTTTTGACAGTAGCCAAAGGTAAAGGTTTATCTATTAAATTATTTGATTAAAAAGTGTCTAACTCTGTAGGAAACTGAATAAAGACTCCACTTCCCGTGCTGCAGAACTGGCTTAAGATAGTTTAGATTTTTTGTCCAATATAAATACTGTATCAGCTATCTCCTTGCATTAGTCATTTCCTCCCACCGAGTTCAATAGGAGGTTAGTGCGTTCTCATATTATGGTAAGATCACACTATAAATCTGCACGGAGATTTGCCAGTTATATTGTTTTGGAGAGGCATCTTTTTCCACCGTGGTCTGACTCTGGCCACAGTTCAAAGGCTTCTTTCAATTCCAGATACGACAATAGCACTATCTTTGCTTTACAACAAAGATCATTCCACATGGGTAAGGGGAAAAATAACGCAAAGAAAAAGAAGAATGGAAAATATTGTGGTCAAACAAACAGGCCTTCTTTCAAGAAGAAGATAAGTCAGTAAACAGTACGGTGAAGAGTGGCTGCGTTGGTAGAACAAGACTTCTTAGAACTGAAATAATCAGCTACAGAAATGACAGTTGATCACACGTAAACAAGCAGATATTGCAAAAATATCCCAAACAAGGCAACATCTGCTGCTTGTTTTCAATATTAAGTACAACTTTATTTACAAAGAGTTAGGTGTTGAAGGAGATCTTTTTATAGGAGCCAGAGCAGACAAGGCCGGCAGGGGAGATGGGCATCTGTGCCAGGGATTTCAGCACCAGTGTTACTGGGCTGGACACATGAATCGCTTGCTGAAACTCGACATCCACATCGTAAAGGAAGCCTGGCAAGGTGATTGCAATGGCTCTCGCTAACCGAAAAAAATCACAGTTTATAAGGATGGGCAATATCTGTATAGTTGAGCAGAAAATACTACCATTTGAATTCTACTCACGACAGTCCTGAGTGCAGTTTCATTCTGCAGCTTCTCCCTCCCTGGCTGCTCACTGCTTCTGTTGTCTCCTGGATACTTCATGCTACTTTCCCTCCCCTTATTTCTGTTTTCTAAACAAGCAGCACAGTTTTAGAAGATACACTGAAGAAGTAAACACCTTGCAAGTCATGGATCAAAACAAAATGGAGTGCCTACACAGGCATTAATGCATGTTTACAGAATCACAGAATGGTAGGGGTTGGAAGGGACCTCTGTGGGTCATCTAGTCCAACAGAAGAAAATTTTACTTGACAACTACCTATTTATAAACTCTTTTTTTTCTTTTTCCTTTTTTTTTTCTAATGAAAATTCAAACCCTGCTTGAAGAAAATGTTTTGTAATATACAGGAATGTGGCAAAGCAATACCCAGGCAGCCAGCATCTGCTACTCAAAACCTACTTCTGGCACAGGGTATACAGGGAGCTGATTTTAGTGGTTTAGCAGCAGCTCAATGGCTGCAAAATAAAGATACTCAACTAACAAACACAACAGAGAGGGGCCAGTGCTTCTATGAACAGTATTTACAGTCAGGATCTGGGCATGATGTTGCTCTCACTGACCACAAGTGGGAGTTTTGTCGGTTTTGGCAGCACTAATATTCTAAAAACAGAAATGCAAAATAGAAACCTTTTTCTTCCTAAAAGGGAAGGATAATAGATAATTTAAAAGGAATAAGCTTCAAATCAAAGAGAAAAAAAAAGAGGACTCCTTTCCACTTAGATGAGAAAATTTCAAGGCAATCACTTCTCTACTGAGCATATAAACAGAATTTTATGAAGTGTACCCTAGCGTCTATGGTACACCTCATCGAAAGTCTGCACTTACAGTAAGCAGTGGGGAAGGAGGTTTAGTCTTCCCTCTTTTATTGCTAATATTTTTATTCTAGGTCTTGAAAAGGTTGCCTGAAGCCTCCACATCATTTTCACTATAAAAATAATTAATCTGAAGAATTTACACTTGCTGTATTTAAACAGACAGGCACTGTACTTGATGCAGCTATCCCATGCAGCATAAGACATCTGTGGGAACACCGATGACTGTGTATGTTCAAATGCATCCAGTCAGATCTCGCGATTCTGAGATTTAACACACTGATTATGATTACTTTGTACAAGCTCAGCCTATCAGCCCACTTCGACTGACATTCCTGCCCTTGGGCATATTTTAGTATTCCAAAGCCTGGAACAACTTGAAATACAAATCTGTCCCTGCTACACCATACTGTGGTGTGTGATCCAGAACTTAAAAGCAGTTCCTTGAGCAACTTGACCCAGGTCCAAAATACTCAGGTAGGATAACAAATACAGCCATTTGCATGAGCTTTAACGATTTTCAGCCTGCACTAAACACAGTTTGTCCTTCATAGGCTTGTGAAAACAATTATATGCACATATTAAAGGTGCCTCTTTACCACCAAATCTCTTGGCAATAGGAATACTGAAGTTCTCTGTAATATTTGTTATTGTTGAATACAACCACTGCATCACTGCCGCATTTCACACCATCCCTTCACGGCGCCACTTCTGACAGGGGCTGTGCTCTTCCAGGGGTCCAGAGAAGTTGAAACATGTGAAGCTGACAAACATCAGCCAATAAAGCAGAGCAAATTAATCTGCTATCAATGAGGCCCACATGTGCAATATTGATCCCGACTACTTCCAACTAAAAACAATGAGGTAGAAGATATTTTTACACCTTATTTCCAGATACCCCAAAATAAACATGCAGCCACCCAGTCTTACTGCAAAGTAAACAGAGGGGGAAAAAGAATAAAAAAAAGGGGGCGGGGGAGGAGAGACACACCCCCCAATCTTACCTATTCTCCCCACCCCCAAATAACAAAGCTGCAGATCCCATGAAATGATACAACAAATCATATCTTGCCCAGGATTATAGGTTTCATATTCATGTTTTAAATTCCTGGTACCAATTATCTGTCTGTACTATCAGTGAAAAAATAACAAGGATGTTTTAACTATCTCCAAAAGAAATACTCAGACTGCTTCACCTTGTTTGCTTCGCAGGCAAATGGAAGTGCCTCACCATAGTTGAGTTTGTTTATCTTACTAACACTGATTCTCTAGCACTATCTTGAAAACTAGTGATGATAACGGTGACAACTGAGCTCAACTGTTTTTAACACCCACACTTTCTTCTTCTTCTTTCTTTTTGAGGCAATTTTTTTCTGAGAGTCTGATCTTGTATTGTATTTATATATAAAACCACAAAGCTACGCGTACAATTTCAGCTGGTCACATATTTAGCGTGCACAGTGCCTGCTGCTGCTGATAAAGGTACTTGCACAAATGCACCCTTTTACCTTAACTCAGCTATTTTCAAACCCTGCCCATGACACTGTGTTCTCGGCATGGCTGTGAGCATTGTCAAAAAGCTTCCCCCTCAAAAAAAAAGAAAAAAAAGAAAAAAAAAAAAATCAATCTACATAGATCCCTGCAGCCACAAGCGCCGCCTCCTGCAGCGCTGTACTTCCACAGGGTCTGAAAGGAGTTTCCATGCCTGGCAGAGATCTGGGGAGCACTTCCACAAAACCACTAACAATATCCTAAAGTTATTTGTTGTGGCACTGGTTCAGGATCCCCTCCCTCCTTCCCATTTTGCTGCAGTCTCCGTCACCCCCTGCTGTACCATCACAGCTGCTTTGGAGACGCAGTGTAAGCTGGACCTGCGAACCTGTCAGGTTCCTGCTCCCGGCTGACCCTGAGGAGGGCAAAGCACTTGTGACCTGGGTCAACTCACAGCCCCAGTCCACCATATAGCCCAGCTCTGCCAGTGTGACGATGGGATAGACATGACAGGAAGGGCAGGAGCTTCTGGACAGATGAAAAGACAACCCCAAGAGGGCTTCAAAGTCAGCTGAAGCTTCCCTGAGATGCTGCTGGTGCCTGCTGCTCCCCTGGAGAGAGCAGTTCTGCCCTTATCCAGCCCCTCTTCCTTCTCACTGTGTCAGCCACAGTGGGAGGGGACAGAGAATTTGGGTCCCAGGGGACAGGGTAACTGCGATTATTTCCTTTGCTGACAGTGTTGGTTTCAAGATTTCCTAAAATAGCCTTACCTGAGAGATAAAGTGGAATCACTGCTGATTATCAAAGCTGCTGAGCCTTGGTCCAGCACACAGAATCAAAACACTCAGATTTTAGCTGACTTATATATCCCACCAGTCCCTCCTATGTCTCCTTCCACCTTGCATACTTGTAGTAAAAATCCTCTCCCAACACTTCCCAACATCCCCAAGGCCCTTGGTTTCACAGTTGGAGGGAAACGCTCGAGCTGCCTCTTCCTTCTTAGCACCATCCTGGAGGCTCCACTGCCACCCCAAAGACATGCTTCCACAGTTGGTGGCAGTGCTGGCTGATGGACTGGCCAGACACTTGTCACCAACCTGGCATTGCCCCTCATGGTGCCCCACAGGCACTGACGTGTGCAGACAGAGGAGCTGGATGGCTGAAACCCACCCCAGAGTACAGGACACACTAAAAACGTGAGCGGGAAGGAGCAGCTGGAGGAAGCTGGAAGCTTAAGCTCCTCGTTATTTTGAGCAACGAACCAAAGATCAAGAAACTAAAGATCTCTCAGGGCACCACAGCACTGCCAAATATGGCCAAGGAAAAGGACATATCGCTAAAACCTTGCAGTAAGATGTTAGTAGCTCCACCTTAGAGCCTGAGGAAGGAGAGCCTGCAGAACTCACCCAGGAGGAACAGCACAGCTGAGAGCAAATGCTTTACATGTTTCACGTTGTGTTAGCAGGAGATTCACAGAGACACAAGAGCTTACCCGAAGCCACTTACCCGAACAATTATCCCCATGCGCTTGCTCTCGTAAGTGAAGGGGAAGATCTGGAGGATGGTGAAGTTCAGGATGTGGCCACCCGGTGTCCTCAGCTGCACGGAGGACTGGTCCCTGCCCACCAGCGTCAAACCCACGCTCTCGGTCCACTGGACCAGGGCCACCTGAGAGGAGAAGGCCATGGTGAGGGCGGCCAATCCACGCCACACCTCCCCTGAGGGACAGCGCGTGGGGGCTGCCAAGAAGCTCATTAGTCATTAACGGTGCTTATAGAGCAGACCCGTTCATACACGCAGGTGCCCGCTCCGATGTGGCTCTTTCTAGTGGGCTCTTCCCAAAGTCAGAAGCTTACAGACAGTATTTGTGGGGTTTGGGCAGCCCAGCTCCTGCCCGACCCAGCTGCCAGGCTGCCCTGGGTTCTCAGCGGGAGGTGGGGGGCTCCCCGCCTTCGACTGCCGCGTCCTGAAGGGCAACATCACTTAAATCTCTTTACAAGCACTTACTGTTTGAATGTGCTATTTCCCAGCTTGCTGTTTATGAAATCAAGAATTCAAAATGATGCATTCACCCTGGATTTACAATATCAAAGCCAAAAACACTAATGCAGAGCACATTAAAAATTCATGTTAAAAAAGCAAACAAACAAAACGAGCTCTGTGTTATACTCTATCTGTTAGGCAGTAATAATTCATCAACAACTTTCAACCTCTGTACGGATCAGCAAGACAGCTGAAGGCTGGCTCACAGACACTTCTTAGCAAAAACCCCTTCTTCCCAGACATCAAAAAAACCCACAAAACAAAAAACCCAAAACAAACCCCAGTTTTTCAAGGCACACACCAGAAATCATTTAATTGAATGTATGTGGGTACCATTTTGATTGCAGCTTCTAGTATTTAAGGACCTACAACACTGAATTCTTTACACGCTTTCACTAGATTACAACCAGTCATGACAGAAGACCAAAGTCTTTGTTCTGTTTCCCTGACGATCTGCCCCAGAATCCCCACCTCAGCTGACACATCCATCTTGGCTTGACTCTGCTGAGATACGGGCGTTTAACTCTAGAAGCTGTCTCGGCAGTAACGGATGGGAGTGGCAGCTGACATGAGCCCATATATCACCGGCCTCCAGAAAGGATCAAGGGATACTTTCTCCAAACAGACACGAAATACTGGAAGTATTTTACAATGACATTTTCAAAGGCAGGAGAGTGCTGGGAACATGGTTGCTGCTGTCTTGAAGGTTAATTATCCCTTGTTCCTTTCAGGTTCTGCCTTTACTGTCTTAAGTGACAACAAATACCTTAGACAAAAATGGAATTTATTTTGGGAAAATACATACATGATATATAGATAAAAATGGAATCTATAATTACTTGCATTGAGTCAAGATTTTACTAGAGGAATTGATACACTTAGGTCTAACTGGGGAATCTTTTGTGAACTCAGCTCCCCTAATTCACAATTAGGCTTAAAAGACAATCTAAAATAAACTTTTCCTTTCATAAAGTAGTCTTAAATCTCTAGATTAAAAAAAAAACTAGTTGAGCTGGCTTCACCTTGAAAGACCTTTAAATTAATTTGAATCAGTATTTGTTTTAATATTAGCAAGTTCTTGCAGGCTTATTCACAAAGATTACAACAAATCAAAGCCTCTTTCAAGCTTATCTTTTTCAGAAGTTTCTTCAAGCCGTCCTTGGTGTATTAAAGTGTGCAGTTAGATAATCCTCCTAACAGTCTCTCCCAGAGCAGAGATGGAGCTTGGGTTTCTAATACTCTGGTTAATAAATGATTATGGAGGATTTTTCACAGCGTGATGTTACTTGAGGTTCAGTGCATGCAGCACTGGGTCTTGATTTGCCCATGTCGGTAAGCTGCAAACATCTGGAGATACAAATCTCTGCTCCCAGCTCAGCCTGTTACAGCGTCTCCTTTGCCACTCTCCTTCACAGACACCTCCTCCTTCCTTCCCTGCCAGCACCCCATTTAAACCCTGTGTCAGGAAGCATTTAAGCCTCCTGAAAGAAAAGCCTTGTGCAGAGGAACAAATGGACGAGCAGCACGTCAGAGGTGCTGTGTTGTGCACATGACACGCGTCAAACTAACTGCATTGCGCTGCGCAACGCCAGGCGAGTCGGATGGCCCCGAGACCACAAAAAGGTCCATCAATGGAAGGGAAAGATAATGAAAGGAATCCCCCCCTCCCATGCTGCTCCCAAGCAGATGCGGGTCCTGTCAGCCCTTAATGGCTCTCCAGGTGAACCGCATTCAGCACCGGTGGGGAAGCAGAGCTGAGCCCTTTGAACATGCCACTTCCCAGCCTCTGCAGTACTTAATGAATAATTACCGAGAGAGAAAGCGATATAATTCTGAAGTGTTCCTATCAGATGTACTACAAGCATTGAAATTACCGTCGCCATTCAACAGAAGACACAATGGGCCTGGCCTCTGGGAAGTGCCGCAGCATCAGGGGACAACACCGGGGGACAACACCGACGGCAGCAGCAGCGCCGGTGGCTCTGGGGCAGGGTCTGGGCACCCCGTGACGGGGAGCGAGTTCCCCGCTCGGTGCAAGACAGAGGAGTTTTACTCTGCGCTGTGCCAACAGATAACTGGAGGTGCTTCCAGTCACAGCGAGATGAGGAGAAAGATTCAAGATGCAAAAATATCTTTACAGCTTAAACCGAGGAGATTTAAAAGCAGGCTTGAAATCCCTCAAACATCTTCAAGAGAGCCCATGGTCACAGATGAGGGGAGATCAGTAAAATCCCTGACCACGCTCTGGGAGTTTGCAGCTCTGTCCAGGCCAAGTCAGATACAGATCTGAGCATTACAAAGCAAAGCGGCTACAGCAGCTCGGCACGCTATCCCCCAAACTTTGCTCTTTTCGACAATTAAATTACCCAAGCCACCACTGGAGTGGATATCGACTAATAAATTTCATTCTAAAGAGACAAATTGATCCTTCTGTGCCATGAGTTGCTCTACAAACGTCCCATTTAGGGTTGCCTAGGCAGACAGACAGCAGGCAGAGGCCCATTGATCGGTGCACCCTTTCATGTCCTGGCAGCTGCGGCGGGTTGTCAGGGTTAAAGACTGTTTGCCCAGGAATCCCAGGCACTCTTATCTCTGATCAGATTATATCTATTTCATTTCCCCTGTTAGTTACTGTACGGCTACAACTGACACGCTTGCAGAGCCCCAAGGCTGTAACCGATATCTGAATAAAGATACTTCAAGACTTCTAAATGGCAGCGTGCACAGGAAACAAATTTAGGAAATCCTGCTTTCTGTTACAGGAAATGAATCCTATGCCAACTGGTAGAAATTACTCTTGCTGTTAAAGTAAAGAGAATACAAGTTTTTGTACTCATTTCATAAACTGACCTTCCCTGTCATGGCAATATTGTATTGATATAGGATTTCAAAGGCTGGCTTTAACAGGAGTCCAAAGCCATTCCCCTACAGGGAATGTTATTTAACAGCATCGCTCTTTTCTGAAGGACTCAGTCTGTGCTGATCCTGCATTTTGTACCATCTAGTATGACATACACAGAGCATGTCTAAACAATATTTGTATATCTAAGACCTACAGACAAGATCTCCTCAGTGCAGCAAAGCATATCTGATTTCTAAACCCACTGTAATTCTCTACTTAAGACACTACAAGAAAGGAAAAAAGAATTTAAACAATAATCTTGGAAGGATTAGTTATCATGCTATAGTAAAACAAACAGACAATAATCCCTTGGGTATTTGAGACAAATTGCTGCATAAATATTTTAAAGACAGAACTGTATAAAGTGAAAAAGGAAAAGACTTCACTATATATCACAGTATATATGTAAATAAACAGAGTACCTCCGCAAAAATAGCCAGTAAATGCTTTAGGAGAAAAACCTTAAATGCAGATCACAAAAATTACCATCTGGAAATCGTTCAGAACTTGTTTCAATCCAAAGGCAGTTGATTTCTGTAAGCTGTCTTTGTAGCGGAAAGCGACACATCAGGGGAGAAAAGCAGGTAAGCAAAACACCGATGTGGATTATGTGGTGGGAGAGGACACACATGCGCACAGCTCCAGGGCCAGGGAGGAGTGAAGTGTTTGTTGGCACTGTAAGCACATCAATGGAGGAGGGCGGAAAAAGCAAAGATGCAGCTTTTGTATAATACAGACAAGAACACATTATATGAAGTGAATGAATAGACTACTTGGGAAGAAAAATGCTATATAGGGAGTATTCTGAATGTACATGAAAAGTGAAAACTGATTCTGTGTGCCAGTCTTTCATTAATATATGCAACAGTTTCGAAATCCTCACATAGCCAGGCTAACGACTAAATTTATTTCTATGCAAAAAATTTCTCACCTCTAACAATGAGGAAAGCCAGCTTCTCGCTTGACGTCAAAGGTAAAAAGGTTATTATCAGAGGCAAATCTGTTTTATTTGGGGTAATAAATGGAAGAACCCTTCGAATGCAGTCGAATGGGCAATATGATCTCATACTGTTAATAGGACTCTTACGGAAAGTTTCAAACTTCAGACTCTTTCCATAGCACAGAGCAAGTGTAATTGTACAAATTAATAGAAAAGAAATTGTTTTACCTTTGCTGCACTGAAAAAGAAAAAGTATCCAAGAAGCATAACCAAGACATAAAACCATATTTTATTCCTCCTTTCTTTGTCACAGAAGGAAACAACACTCTAATTAGATTTTCCAAATTTTGCAGTGTGGCAAAGAGCGCTTTAATCACAAGTCCTCATACTGAACCCGATCTCTCAAATGTTCAGTAAAAGTCTCCAGCAAGTCACTGCAGAGCTGCAAAGCTTCTCTCTGCTGTACCACTCCGCGTAGCCCTGGTACTGGGTTCCAGCAGAGAACCGGCAGGGCACAGCCTTGCTCTGAGACAAACTCCTGTGCACTTCGGCTACTCAGCAGAACTAATTCAGGCTCTGTCCGCACGGAAAGGGATGCGTTCCGGGTTAGCAGTGCTACCCAGCGCAATTTACCACTTGTCACTTGGTCTAGAAGCTCAAATGCTTTGTAGATCAGGGACAAGCTGACTCACAGGAGTGATTTAACCCTCTCCCACAAGTCCTCCCACAGACAAGAAGACTGCCTGTAATTTACCAAATGTGGTCAAAGGGACTGACAGCATTGAACAACCAAACACGCCCTGGACAAAAGGTGTGTGCAGAAACATGAGCAAAGCTCTGCGATGCAGATGCTGATACAACAGCCAGATATGAGTCCCCATGTAGCTCCGCAGCTTCAGGCAGAGAGGCAGATTTGGCTGAAGTGCATCAGCTCAGAGGGCACTTGTGGTCCATTCGTGGGTCCTCAGAGCAACAAACACACTACAATAATTTTCCCTTTGCTACACTGGAGCACTTTCACAAAATAGTATTTTTTTTGTGTGAAAAGCAAGGCCAGATTTGTATTTTTATACACTGACCTCATCGGGACTGGAGGCCTGGTAGACCCTGCAGGAATCCTCGTAGTGTCTCTCGGCTTCAGCCTGGTCTGTCACCCCGTTGGACTCGTACACCGGCGTCACGTTGTGGCACAACGCGATTGCCTTCACCGCCTCGTGCACTCGGCTGCTCATGGTCTTGCGCACCTTAGTGGCTAAGGTCAGGCCCTTCACCGCAGGTGGGTCTTGAGATTGCTTATAAAAAAGGAAAGCAGAATAATGTCTTACTGCAGAAAAAAATAAAAGATTTAAATTAAGTTTTTGCTTCAGTGAAGACAGTATATGCAGCAGCCGTGCAGGCTCTTACGTCCCCAGGAATGAGACGCGCTCTTCAGACACCTTAACTCAGACCATCACTGGGAACACGCCTCGGAGTCACGCAACTTCTTTATCATTGTTACTGGTGGAGTAAAGCGTCCCAAAAGGTTTACCTAAGTTTTTGGAACAGTACACTGAAAAAAAGACCCTTTGTTGCAGACCCACCGAACACTGACTGGTGAAAGACCAAAATCAGAGAACTCAGTGAAAGCGTTTTTTGCTCCACAACAGACGAGTGGCTCTGAAAATTTAGAGTCAATGGGGTTTCATGTGCAAGAGAATATAATTGCGGAAAACAGAAAACAGATGACTGGTATGAACCTAGAAAATCTTAATTACATTCATTTAATTTTTAATACTATTTTTAGTATCAGAATGGGAGTCTTCAGATAATTACACAATTACTAAATTATGCTGGTTGAAGAAGGGACACACAGTGATCTAGTTTCCTGCTCTGTTAACCTTTAGTGTCAAGAGGACAAAAGTTTCACTTCCAGGTCAAAGGCCACAACATGGTAAAAATAAGAGCAAAGAATAAGAACTACAGTTCAAAATGAATCACTGCCAGCAAATGCTTCTCATTATAAGGAATCTCACTTGGTAATGATAAACGTTTTATGAGACACATCCTTTGCCAGTGCAATTCCACATGGTGTTTTCCACACTCTAGCCATTAGGACACATCAGATCTTCAAATTTAATATCGCTGCTCATCAGCACTGTTGCAACAGGCTTTAACCAAATCAAACAACAGCAAATCCTCAGCTGAAGTGCACTTACATTGACATAAAGCACTAGTCACACACTGGACGAGTCAGTCACCCAAATGTTCTTGACAAATATTGAATACTTTGGCAAATAATTAACCAGTAGTCAAGTTTTCTCTGGAGATTGAGTACAAAATGAGGGAAAACAGATCTGAAGCCTGTTTTTTTGTTGGTTTGGTGTTTGTTTGGGTTTTTTTAAGGTACAGTTCAGTCTTTTAAGGGTCTCAACACCAGGAGAAGAACCAGATGCTAAGAAGGCTATGAAAGCAAAGGAGGGAAAGAAAGAGAAATGGCTAGAGGAGTTACAAGTTACCTGAGACATATGTCAGTGAAAAAGATAATTACTCAAAATACCAGGTATTTATCAACTGGCATTTACTTAGTTAAAAACACATTGTAGCCTGCCAGTCTGCCCAGGGAAAAAGCTATGCCACTAGATGGATCACCGAGGTCAAGGAAACCTGCTGTGCGTCTTTACCACCACGAACAAAATCCTAAAATAAAAATCCTATTTACAGTACAGAGCGCCTTTTTCCAGACAAGAATGCTGGCCTCATGTTTCACTTTGGGGGGGTTTAGAAAGCACACTTCCATCTAATATCTCTAGAGCAAAGCAGAAACAATGCGACGTGAAAAATCCAGTTCACTGCACTGGGTGTGCACTCTCAAGGAAAAGCATGGGCACTTCGAAAATTACTTCTGTGGTTTCTGCAGGAACGAAGCAAAACCACAACTACTGAGAAATGAAAACGCTTGACATGCGACACAGGAGTGGTAACCCATCACTAACGTCTGCAGATTGCATCTATGGAATCACATTTTACAAAAGGAAAAAAAAATCTAATTGCCAGTAAGTCACAAAAAAAGTTATTTCTAGCTGTAGTTGAGAGAACGGTTATTAACAGAAAACGAAAAATAATGCTTCAATGATTACATAATCAGTGACAATTCTTAAATCTTTTGTAAGTACCACTCAGAGGGGTCGCTGGAACATCAGCCACTGATAATGGGCTTTTTTTTTAAAAGGTAGTAATATTCTTAAGCAAAACCTCATCCCTTGCTTTACAAAGGAGATGCATGTATCTACATGAGGTTTCAATTCATAAGCATCTTGTCCGTTGTAACATGCTACGGAATACAGTTTGCTGACCTGGTTATCATACAAAACTGAAATAAAAGTCTCAGAAGAGAGATGAAGGCTTTCTAGACGCTGGCTCATCCGGTGCTACTGAAAGAGGAATGCAAGGGAGAGACTTCCCAAAACAGGATTTTCCTGTTCTATACTTTACACGTTGACTTTGCTGCCTCCTTTAGGGGCGGATAGTTCTCAAAGCAGACGTCAGTTATGCAGCATGTAAGATCACTGGTGCACTAAAAGAATTGCACTTTTACCATTTTCTTTTTTAACATCAGGCCTAAAGCAGCGATGCTGGCACGCTGTTCTCTGTTACGGCTTACTGAGTACTGATGGTTCCTCTTCCTTTATTATTGCCCCAGCACGCAGCATTTCAAACAGCAACTTAATCCACTAAATATTATTACTCAGAGCCAACTTTTCAACAAAGCAAACACTGTGGTTGCTGTAAATGGTGAATATCTAAACAAAGGCATGCTATTTTACAATCAGACCTCAGCAGCAAGACACAGGCACATACACTCACTCACACAGATCCATGTACGTGCTGCGGCAGTGAGAGTTAAAAGATTCATGGATGTAAAACACTCTACAAATGTAACAAGCAATCATAATAATATTTATGTATTAAGCAATCATAATAATATTTATGTATTAAGCAATCATAATAATATTTATGTATTAAGCAATCATAATAATATTTATGTATTAAGCAATCATAATAATATTTATGTATTAAGCAATCATAATAATATTTATGTATTAAGCAATCATAATAATATTTATGTATTAAGCATCTAATGACCTTCAGACTTTTCCAGAAAGTAATAGTTAATAGGCAGATCCTTGCCATACTAATTCACCATTAGCCCAGTGACCCAGAAAACTGTTCTGTGAACAAAGAGTTAAGCAATGCAATTTAATTCTACCTGCGTGTATATACTGAATATGTGGCTCTGCACTTCATCCATGGAGTCCAGGCCGTAAGCGACTGTTCCCAGGTGAAGTCGCTTGAAGACCATCTCGTTCTGCGTAAGAGTTCCTGTAACAGAAGCGGCACCAGACATGGAGTGGGCACCCACACACGTATTCCCCAGCACACACATGTATTCCCCAGCACACATTCTCATCCTTGCCGTACTGCAAATCCAAGAGAAGCTGGGCCAAAAGCTGAACCAATCACTGCACTAAGCTCTCAGCACAAGCTGAGGCCAGCAAAAAAGACAGTATTAACAAACCCGAGGGCTGATCCTCCCAGGAAGCAGTGATGGACATCACTGTGCCGGTAAATAAGAATGAGATTATTCACTCCAAAGTCAATGCCAGTAAGAGCTACAGGTGTAATTCTGGTCTTGCTGGAACCAAAGAAAACTTCTTGGAACAGCTTTAGTGGGACCAGGATTTTATATAGACCAAGCTTTTCATTACAGCTTTGCAATCATAATAATATTTATGTATTAAGCATCTAATGACCTTCAGACTTTTCCAGAAAGTAATAGTTAATAGGCAGATCCTTGCCATACTAATTCACCATTAGCCCAGTGACCCAGAAAACTGTTCTGTGAACAAAGAGTTAAGCAATGCAATTTAATTCTACCTGCGTGTATATACTGAATATGTGGCTCTGCACTTCATCCATGGAGTCCAGGCCGTAAGCGACTGTTCCCAGGTGAAGTCGCTTGAAGACCATCTCGTTCTGCGTAAGAGTTCCTGTAACAGAAGCGGCACCAGACATGGAGTGGGCACCCACACACGTATTCCCCAGCACACACATGTATTCCCCAGCACACATTCTCATCCTTGCCGTACTGCAAATCCAAGAGAAGCTGGGCCAAAAGCTGAACCAATCACTGCACTAAGCTCTCAGCACAAGCTGAGGCCAGCAAAAAAGACAGTATTAACAAACCCGAGGGCTGATCCTCCCAGGAAGCAGTGATGGACATCACTGTGCCGGTAAATAAGAATGAGATTATTCACTCCAAAGTCAATGCCAGTAAGAGCTACAGGTGTAATTCTGGTCTTGCTGGAACCAAAGAAAACTTCTTGGAACAGCTTTAGTGGGACCAGGATTTTATATAGACCAAGCTTTTCATTACAGCTTTGGTCTTCTGAATTCAAGCTCAACTGTGAAGCAGCGAGGACAGCCATAGACTGATGGTATGTTTCTGCCTACACATGTAAGCTATCTTCATTCAGCTTTGAAAACTAACCCTAAAAAGTTGGTTTTATTTTTACCCTCAACTTACAGTTTAAAAGCACACTTCATGTGTTCTTTAATGTAGTATAATATTCCTGTCCTCTCTTATCCATGGTGCATTCAGAAGAAAAAAAAAAAAAAAGTTTG